GCTTCCTCTGCATTAGGCAGTAAAGATTTAGTGAAGCGATTACCATATGCAGCTGCACTAGTCTGATAAAATTACACTGAAATAGTGCACTAAATTATATTGACAAGATACATCATCTTTGCATACCGCACGTGCTGGCTGGCTGGGCTTTTTTTCTTGAACAAAGCACTATTCTGCAAAGCTAATGAGTATGTGGGAATGTTTCCAAGGGCAGAAAAAGCAACGGGGGTTTATGGCAGCTTTCTTAAATTTTATATTTAATTTTTATTATTAACATTAAAGCTGCTCTATTTGCATTCATGAAGACAATCATATGGATGGCAAGACCACAGGTACAGGAAATAAACTCAAATGCACCACATAAAAAGCAGTGGTGTTCTCAGCTGGTGCTTCTAAAATGACCATTTGAGTTGACTCTGACAGCAACGTCTCCATTGCCATATGGGTTTTCTAATACCGGACAGCTCTCACTTGCTAAATTCTGCTGGAGCCAGCAAGTTGCCACCATTAAATAACATCACATCTGCTTACTGACTTGGTTTGGTCTGAAGTAAAATCACAGCCTGGAATCCCACTAACATTTTATCACAGAAGAAAAAGGAGCATGGATGATAAAGCTAAAGGAGAAGACATCCAGGGGACTTGGAACAAAAGAAAGTAAAATTAGCTACTTAAACTGGAAGTCAGTTTTAATTCAATTTAACAAAACTCTCATGAAGCAAATTCTTATCATGGCTAAACAAAGGAACCAGTGTTATTTTAAGGGTTAAGGGTTACTCACATGACAAAGCTCTTAAGATAATTACTGAATCTCTTTTTGAAAGTCCTGTGGTTTGTATGAGAGCAATGCACCACATAATATATTATCATTAGAAATGAAGATGTACGTTTAAAACTACCAAGAAACAGAACTATTATATGCATGATATGCAGACCCTTCTTTCATTTAAAAGCACTCCTGTGCAAAGAAAAATGTTATTGGACTCCAGCCTGCGATCGGCTGCTTTTAAGGCTACGCCTTACATTTCCCCTCAGTTTTTATCACACAAGTGCCTATTGTCACAACACCACATTTTATCTCCAGTTGTCTTTTTCCTTTTCATGAATTCAAATTTGAGGAACTCCAATGCAACAGAAGGCTCAATTATTTTTTTTTAAAATCAAGTTAATCTCTCTCTTTCCTTTTAGATACAATCTTGTGGCTCTCAGAAGTATCACAGTTTGCCTTACTCGGCATTTGATTATTATAAGCAAAACTAAAGTAAGGAAAATGCAGCAAGAATTAACATTTTCATGTGCATTTTCCATGAACAACTGAAAGCAAGTTTGGAACAGAAATTAAGATACAGGAAAATTGCCTTGATATTTTCGGAGCATGGAGAAGGCCTCTTCAGATCCTTACTCTGATTTTATTTTTTATTGTGTCAATTGTTCCTTTTTCAGCACTGCCAGTCTCCAACTGCCCCATCTACTGGCAGCAGAGCACGGCTGGTGCGTGAACACAGGAGGGATCTGATACAGAGCAGAGAACGAGATTTAACAGTGAAATGAGAAATACAAAAAATGGAAGAAAAATTTAAACATTTGCCAGGCAGATTTAACACTGTACAAGGTATCTAATTACATACGTATAGACATCAACCCAACACCTGCTCTTTTGTTGACGAGCTGTTTAGCAAGCGTTTAGATTCATTAGTGTTTCTTGTCTTCAGTCGCAAGTTCCAGGACTCTAAAGAGCTCCTCTCTATCACTTTGCAAGCATTTTAGAGCCTGGTTGAAGAACATCCAGTAAGTATAAACAGGGATAGAGGTGAACCACGGCAGGGTAAGCTACAGAAAAGGAGCTCTGGCCATCCAGTTTTCTTCAAAGTCTTCAGTACCTTGAACACTTGAGAAGGAGCTTGTCTTTCCCCCATGAATCTTTTATTAGGTAAATTAGAACGTCACTAGAGATTTCTCAGAGAGAAATAACAACAAGATGACTCCACCCTTCCTATTTCAATAATTTGTGCAGAAGAGAAAGACATCTCCAAGTAGACTTGTATTAGTCCTTCTCCACCCCACAGAGAGGGGAAAAAATAGGAGACGGAGGTTTGGAAAGCCATAGGACAACGTGCACTGGGAATTTAACTTTTTCCACTTTGCTGCCTGTTGCAATAAGAGAAGCCCCAAAAGCACTACAGTTATTTTATATCTAATCCAGCATGCCTGATGCCACACAAAACCCTTATAGCAAAATCCCGCACAGATCCAGAGCTGATCCATTATTCCTAACCAGGTACTTACCTTCTAGAGGCAAAAGAATCTTTAGCCATGCTCTCCTCCAAGGTTGCTGAGCCCAGTCCAGATCACAGCCCAGACTACACAATTCTAAAGGAAAGGCCAGCAAACTCACAAAAACTGACAGGTTGCTGTCAAAATTGTGCCTCACACTGTTCGGTGGATTTTATCTGAAGGAGGAGCTTCAGTGCTCACCTTGCAGTGAGACATCATCTATTTCCACAGCACAGACAGGCTGGGTCTTTTAGCTTATTCTTCAGTAACTGCACCTTTCAATTTCAAAAAAGGTCACCTCTCAATTCCTCAGATGTTTAATATGAAAACTGGGGTCACCTGGGAGCAAGGTGTCCCCCCTGCAGTTTTATTCAACAAGGAACTCATTAGCTTGCCTCATACCACTATGGGAAGAAAGAGAGACTCCAGATTAATGGCATGACCCAGTGAACTCGCTGAACGCACCAAATAAGAGCAACGTGCTTGGAAAAGTGGCTGCAGACAGGGGAACTCCTCCCGAGAAACCAGAGCAAGCATGGTGGAAGTGCAACTAATAATCCAGAAAAAAGTTTACAGAAGTCTATGAGAAGGGCCCCACAGATCAGCCCCATTTCACTCCAAAAGAATAAACTAGAATGAACTTTTGGAAAAATATGCTGCCATTTCTAGGGAAGAGACCTGGAAGAAGATGACGAGTAGTCCAAGAAAGCTGCTGGGAAGCTCAGCAGCAGGGCAGGGAGAACACTGCTAAAGAAACGGAAAGAAAATGCTGAACCACAACGCTCAGAAACAGGGAGGTCCTGCATCCTTTAAACAGCCTGAGCTTTGCTTTCCCAGAAAAATTAATCATGTGTATATACACAAAACTTACAAAATTCCTTACTGAAGATAAACCATGCAATCTGGCACAGCAAATACCAACAGAGATGCAACCCTGGACTTGACACTTCCTCCTTCCATACTGGTCAAATTGTTTTGCTTTCCAGAAAGGGAATCAGATCAAATGCATTGTAAACACAAGAAATGTGAGTGTTTGGCAAAACTATTAAAGCTTGCAGCGGATAACTTTTCCTTCAGTGTCTCACTCTTCACCAAAAGAGACTCAGTCCATCAGGTTCAGAAACTTTGTGCAAACTCCTGTTAACTGCATAGCTTTAGAGCAGGCTTTTTCTCTGTGAAGTTTTTATACCCATCTGTCAGCACTTTCTATTTCTGAAAGGCTAAAAGGGTTTCAGAAGTTCTGTTGTTTCCTGAGTTCCAAGAATGACAAAAATGCACTTTAAGAAATACATTTCTAAAAATCTTGAACTAGTCAACAATCCCCGTCAGTTAGGACAAAGTCAGTTCTACCATTTCTGTGGCTGTGAAAGTCAGAAGTTGTTGCTCTTTTGCTAGACAGATCACACTCATACAGAACAGTTTTCAGCAAGCACTAAAGCCAACTCTTGTGTTTTTTCCCCCTCTGGTGTATGTTGCTTTTGAAGTTACAAAACCAGTTTCCATTGTATTGTTGTGGCCCCCAAAAGCACCCAAATGATTTAGGAGCTAGCCAAGTCACAACAAACTCCTGTGGCTTACACAAGTACCTTTGTAAGCAAAGTCTGAGAATGTGCTTGCCCTGAAGTCACAGAATGTAAAATTCTTTATCCTAAGGGTAAAACCAGAAAGATCTCAAGCTCAAATCCCATCTTCAGAGAGTAAAGGTAAGTCCACAGGTCCTGTTGCACAGTGCCTGAGGTGTCTTACCCTTTGTAATCCTAAGGACCTTCTATTTTCTGTCCAGACTGCCTTGGTTACCCTTTCACCCAAGCTGCCGGGGCAGCATTTTCCAGAGCCTCTGCAGCAGCATTTGGCCTTGTTCTGTGCTGTAACTCTCCTCGGCTTGCACCCGCAAACCCCAATATTGCATGCTGTAGCAGGTTCTTATGGGAAGTGATTGCCACTAGTGTGCAAACCACTTTTTCTTTCTGTACCCCTCAGCTATGTTTTTTTGGTTTACATTAGGGGACTCAATAATATGGATGCTCACAGCTTAATAAACCAACATGCACAAGCATCTGGCCTCAATCCTGTATGCTCCAGTCAGCATGAACAGTATCATAAGAACAAACAATACGGATTTCGCTCAGGTCCTGATAAAAACTCAGTGATTATTAATGGAATGGTATGATGAGGGAGATCACGTGCTGCCCCAGAAAGGACACTCATTTGGGAATCCTGCCCCTTTTCTTCCTAGCTGGCCACTGGGGAGAGTTTTCCTGGTCCCTTTTCTCACTTTGTCTTCCCCTTTCACTTCTTTTTCTGCACCCTTAAAAGTTTTACCATTAGGGTTGATGTATGCCATCAGCTACGGATCCACGAATAAACTTTTACACATGTAAGCCTGTCTCAACATCCATCGCGCATTGCTCTTATACATTCATCCACAAAAATCCCTCTAAGTTTCTAGGTAGCCTACTTTCACTGAGTAAAGAGCGAGTTTTTTAAACAGCATCCAATAACCTTATAGGTCCTACAGCTCACAGTGCATCACACCACATCAAGACTTCAATGCAGCTACATTGCAGCACTACTGAAAGAGCTTTAGAAAAATTAAGCAGTAATCAAACTGCAGTATTCTAGAATTTGTGCAGACTTGCCACTTTTGCAAGTGAGCCTGAAAAGGCAGCAAAGGCATTTTGAGGAACTCAAACCGAGTTTATAATGCAGTAAAAACTAAGCCGTACCTTTTGTAAGAAGAGGACAATCCTCACAAGCATCTTGGCATGCAGGTCCTCCAAGGTGAACAGAGTTCGAGGCGTGCGGATGAAAATCTTGGTCTTGCCATAAGCAACATCATGCTGAAATCCGTGACACTCTATGAGCTTCTTCACGGCATCTTTGTCTGAAGGGAGGTCGTGATTTGGCCAAGTGAATTCCGAGATCATCTTGTACCTGGAATTGCAAGGTATAATTTACAAATGTAAACTTGTCATTTAGGTTCTCAAGAAGGCCAACCTTCAACACGTTTTAGAAATATTTATGATCTAAATTCTAATAAAACTGATCATAGATAGAAGAGCCTCAAGCCATCCTGTGTAGGCATCACAATCCTCAAAATCCAAGGATTTAACACCAGAGGCATGATTTTGTGAGACGCTGAAAAGAAAATAATGCTGTGAGAAGCTTAGTTCATCAACACCAAACAGACGCAACACTACAAACCTCACCGTTGTCTTCCTGCAGATTTGGCAGTTCCATCATTCATGCTTTTAGCATTCAATTTTCTATTTTTTTGCAAGGAAGAAAAGCTTTGGTTTGCTCACATTCTGCCTCAGAAGCCAACTGTAATCAACTGTTTATAGTCAGAAAACCTAGATTTAAAAATTCTGCAAATAACGTTCTTGTTCCTCATTTTGGTCTCCATTTCTAACAAATTTTATTATTTACCAAAGCAGCAGAGAGTTGACTGCCACAGTTTGTGCAACCACCATTACTGCCTGCAATCGTTTTTCAATCATTCCCTCCCATCCTTACTCTCCAAACTCCTTTTTACACTGAGAGAATGTAGATTGGAACTGAGACAAGTACGAATCAAACATGAAAATAACTGCACCAGAGACTGCTCCCTGTAAGATTTACCATCCTTGCAAAGTGCTGATTAGGTGAATAGACGTTTGCAAAATGCAACAATGAATTTTCTGCATAAGATTTATGGACTTAATAAAAAATGTAATAGACATTTTCACTGTAATAGTACCCACACTCATGTTCTAAATAAAACAAGCACGCAGCAATCTTAACCACTTCTCTATTTAAAGGCCCATGATCCCAGTCAAGCATCAATCTCAATGTTTTAGACATTCAGACTTTTAAGCTACTATTAAATGGATGCAGCAATAAACCTTTTTACTGGGGAGTGGGCGCACTGCAGGAGTAACTAAACAGACTAAAATAAGCCTGAATGGAAATACATCACACCGTCACTTTCATTCATCAAATTAGCCTTTCTGAATAAGCTGTTGAAGAGGCGAAAAAAATGGAGGTGCACACAGTGTCTAAGCAGGGAACACCATCAGCGTGAGGGTTACAGCACATAGACTAGGGATTTTACTGATAAATAAAACAGGTATATAAAAGAAGCCCTCTTCAGACTCACAAATCAAAGATTTTACATTTATACTTGGCTGGCGAAAACATTCCTTCTCTCAAACACATGTACACACAGGGCATAAATATTTTACACTGGCTTCTCTTTCCTATTCTCATCAGAAAAATGTTCCTGCAATAATTAATTCACTGGGAAAATCTTCTACTTTCAGACACTTACATTAGGGGGAAAAAAAAAAGGAAAAAAAAAAAAGAAAAAAAAAAAAAAAAAAAAAGACAACCAGAGTGGCAGTGCAAACGCATGCGTTATTAAACAGGCCTGCTCTGCCAACAGGGCCAGGGAAAAAAAAAACCAAGAGACAAGATGTCAGAGAGCTGAAAACCTGCCCAAAAGAAATGTTAAATTCTCTTCTTCCTTTACGACAAAACCAGGGCTGTGGTATTTAAAGACTTCCCAAGGCAAAGAGACCACCTCCCTCCAAGCCCCGGGTGGTGGGACTGGCGGGTGGAATATTGCAGCATCCTTTTGTTCCTCCCGTGGCACGTGCAGAGCAATGCCACGAACTCCGTCCCTGCAGCAGAGCACGCGACCTGGATGCCACAGCAAATCAAAATCCCAACCTCGGTGCTAATTATAGTGAGGCAGAACCCAAACTAAATCTGCTTGCTGACACCACAACCCTTCCCTTCTCCTGCCTGGAGATCTGAACAGTTTTCAAGGTCACTTATACATTAAACATCCATTTCTATACCACATTTGTTTCTCCTTCTTCTTCTCCGTACTTGGCTGTAGAAACACCCGGCACACACAAGGTTGCTACTAGAGCTTATAGTCCTCAGTGCAGCTCTCCGAAGAACCAAGATTTTTGTGAGCCACTAAATTACAAAGCTTTGATGAAAAATATCAGGTCCGCACATGAATGGGGGTCATACTCTTCTCTCACTACCGTGTGGTTCACAGCGCTGTCAGTGTCATTTATATGCTATGTTTAACATTGCCTGGAAATAGGCATGGGGATGCCTTCATGGTGAAAGTGTTGGATTACGCTCACAGGCAGCCATGGCTGCAGATGCCTCGCAGGCGCCGTTCTTCCCCCTGCCACACACACATACCCCTTTCCAAAATCCAATCAGCATTTTTTTTTTTTTATAGAAAGCTATATATTAAAACAAAAGAACACATCACATCTATTTAAGATACACAGTCCTGACACGCATTTCACGCAACCAGAAGATTTAGTTACCAAGCAAACGCACATCTCTTGGTCCAACAAAAAAATATTTAGAACTTACTTTCTACAAATTGGTAAGGGCAGACTGGTTTGCACAGGGCTCAAATAAAAGTTTTCTTAATTTCAAGGAAAGCTTGAAAAGGACATTTATTAATGGTCTTTAATTAATGGTCATTTATTAACGGCCTCTGTGTCTACTGGTAGATATATCAACTACCTTGCAGTATTTTAGGGCTCAATAGCAACAAACTCTTTTCCTACAAAAAGGAAAGTTATGTTTTTATATACACAAGTACATACATATATATAAAAAAATAGGGATACATGCACTCACATACATATATATGCATATATATGTATGTCTTATCTATATATATCCTGATATGTATCTCCTGTCCCCTCTAAGAGGGATCAGCAAGGCAAGACGCAGGTATCTGTTTTGGGCTCAGAATATCTGAAAGCTTGAGGGGCCTGTAAGGGAGTTAAACATCTGTTTGTGGGACTGAACTTTTAGAATATCTTTTGCAGATGGAAGCAAACAGATGACAAAGTTATGTCCCAAAATCGCCTCTCGCTGAGGTACTCTGGATCTGTCTTCAAACGAGCCCCATATGCAGTGTCAAAGTCCAGAGCTGAAGGACCTAGAGCCTCCTCCATGCTCCCAGTCTCCCAACAAGATGGTTAAATATAAAGGAACAGAAATCCCTTGTGACCCCTGTTCAAAAACCACACCAAAAAATGTGCGGCTTGTACCACAAATCATATCCCTCGGCCCCTTTAAGAGGGGTATGTCTCACCCAAAGATGAAGAACAAAGAATTTTGGAAAAAATAAAAATAATATCCAGGCCAGGAGATTTTTTTTTTTTTTTTTTTTTTTTTTTTTTTTTTTTAAATTTAGAAAAGTCGCTGTAGACTGGATTTGGAGCAATACCACGGTATGCAAATACAGTGTCTGATACCTTACACTTTAGGTGGTTAATCCTGCTCCGGGGTCCGGCAGAACAAATGTTAGAATAGCCTGAAAGCTGTACCAGTTGCCATGTGCTAATTTGGTTTACTGGCTGTAAACACCACTTCTGGTCTTAAGCTTACAGGAGCTCATCAAACATTCATTAAAAACAAAGCAGCTGTTTATATTAATAGTAATTACACAAATCTTAAGAGTGAATTATTATGGATTCCACATGTGAGGGCAGAAGTGTGCTCTAACTTCTGCATAATGTTTAAGAAAACTGATAGAGAACACTGTAGGCTGTATTTAGTAAGCCAGACTCTTTAGCTCCACTTCAGGTATCATGAAATATCCAGGAAAATCTCCACTGTGAACAGCAAAAGATCTTTCAACAACACTTCGTTTCTAACTCACGACATCCCACCTGCTTGAATAGTTTAATTTTTTTCTACCCTCAGGGCCTTTTCTCACCTGATTCAACAACAGAAGTAAAAATCAATTCACTATTTCATCAGTAAGAGGTTGAATTCTTAGTACCCATGCTAATTTACTGAAGCCATAAGAGAAATTTCAATCTAAAATATTTCATTTGTCACAAGTCTGGTAGGAATTGAGAGGGCAAGCAATATCAAAACCATGTTTTAATGGGATCATGTTACTATCCCTTTTTCAGACTTCAGTTTTAAAGTCCAGAGGTTTCCTCCTGCATGCACATAACGTCACAGTGTGCCATCAAGCACTTCCCAAGACACATGATGTCTGTCTGTCTCACTCACTGCAACAATTAGACAACGTTCAGAGAGAAAACAGAAGTTAATTAGTTCTGGTTTTAGGGTTATGCTCTGGGGAAGGACCTCATGACATGCTCCTGTTGCAGAGAGTAACACAGCAAATGAATTCTAGCACTAAAGAAGTTGAGCTTGAGTGCCGTGCATGCACCTCTACATACATCTGCTGCCACAAAACAGGAGAGCAACCAGAGTCCCTGTTAGACTCCTGTTTTATCACACCCAACAGCAGATTTTAAACCAAACACACCACCCCCATGTGCTCAAGAGTGAGGATCACAAGCCCAGAGGACTTAAGACTTACTCTGCACTCAAGGGGAGACAGCCAAATCACACGCCTCATTCCAACAAAGAGCTGAACTGAGCCACTTGCCAGCACCCTTCTTACCTGTGAAGAAACTTCTCATACGTTTGGCGGTAGGCAAAGCCTGCTCGACGGACTCTCACATTCTCCAAAAGGCCAAGGTATTCAACCTGATGCCTGCAACGCTCCTCGTCGAAAAGCTGTGGTGACTTCTTATCGTTGGGCTTAATGCAACGAACATAATAGGGTTCCTAAGGGGACAAATCAAACCAAGTTTCACTCAGAGAGAAAAGAAGTCTATGCAAGACACAACTGTTTCCTCATGAAAGCATCGAGGTGTCAGTACACCCCAGTCATCTAAATGAAGTTTGGTTGCTTAATGGGAATTACAAGGTTAGAACAGAAACGACAAGCATGGCCCATAACACGTTCCTCCCCTTAGCACACTGCAATGACATCTGTTACAGGATCAATGTGTTACTCGTTCAAGTTTGGCTGCCCTTTGCTATATATCAGAACCGGTTCCACATCCCCATTCTCTACAGGCTTTGACGATAACAGAGTCTTCAGAAAAGACAGAACAATGTAATTCATTGCCCTGCTTGTTGGATATGGCTTTTCCAGTACCAACATCTAAAAGCGGCATGGGTTACTCCATATTTAAACTACGCTGCATCAAACCCTCCAAAGCCTGTAGCAACATGCTTGAATGATGGAAATCACTGAACACTACCCTGCGCCCATGAGATAAGCCCCATATACAGTCCTGCTAGACTATTTTGATGTTTACTCTAATTGTTGTGAGATTAAAGGCAACTTTCATTTAGGACAACATGGTCTATAACTACCACCAGCTTGTAAGGGGTGGCTATATATTTTTTAAATTTATGCACTTCCATCACACTGGGTTTTGAAGTCCATTCATTTCTTTCTCTTCATTGTTAGCCCTTGCTATCCCACTTCTCACTTAATTGGTGGAGGGAAAAGCAATTAATAAGCATCATAAAGGCCACCTTAGTTTTTCAAGGTAAAATTGTATTCTTATAAAATTAATATATATTATCTTTTAAGTAGCCCTTGCAAAAGGAGTCGCATATTCTGCAGGTTGGCGAAGTCTGCTGCCCACCAAGCCTCATCACTAGCCAAGGAGACAACTCAAAAGAGGATCCCAGTCAGCTCAGAAGGTCAGGGTATGTCTGGAGACTTGCTTCAGAGGACATAACAAAGATGCACCTAAACTGGAGCATTTCAAACACCAGTTTACAGCAATGCTAAAACTGTGACAAAGGGAGATAAGCAGCCTGTCTGACACCTTAACATTAGAAGATGTCTATTTTCATAATCACAACTGATAATTAAGAACAAAATATCAGCAGTTTTCCCTGGGACTAGATGAAACAGGTGGTGGTGAAAACATCTGTAAAACTGCTCTGAGTAATCAGAGGTCCTTTCTCAAAAGGCAAACCCCAAGCATTCTCCAAAGGATCTGCTCTGTTCCAGTACTACCGGATGGTTTCAACAGTGATTTGAATGGAGTGCAACGTGGGTACTAAATTTGTAAGCAATGTAAAGTTTCAGAGTGCAAGAACCCACAAAGCTAACAAATGGGAGGAGCGGTCTAGAAAAAAAAACCAAGAAAAGGATTAATTTAGTGAGGACAAATGCAAAGTTCCACATTTAGGCAGAAACAGTTGTATAATAAAAGAACGAAAAACTGATTTGACACCAGAGCTAAAAAAAGATCTAGGAGTTCTAGCTGAACATGAGTCAAGTTCATGTTTTTCTAAGGAAGGGGCACCGGAGCAGGAAAACTGCAAGACAAAAAAACCCAAGAGCTTTCTACTTCTCTGAACATTACATTCAGTTTGGGGCACTGCAGTTCAAGTGGGATGCAAACGGTGGTGAGTCAGTTCAGGGAAGAACAAGAAAGACCAAAAATCCGGAAAGTGTGACTCAGAGGAAATAGGGTTTTAGTCTTGAAGGACTGAGGAGCTACACAACCATCCCGGTGTTAGATTTTATACACTTAAGGGGTAGATATAAAGAAAAGTAAATACCCCATTTTGAGACAAAGAAGCACTGGCTTTAACTACAGCATAAAAACTCAAATCAGGCATCAGGAGACCAAGGAATGAGAGCAGAACACCTGCAGAAAGGAGGGGAACCTCCATCACTGGAGAGTAACAGCCTGAACAAGCACCTACAAAGAGAAGTTAGAGGCAGAGGTGTCCTCAAACAGGACATGAACTAGGTGCGCTCCCAAGGTCCCCTTTAGCCCTAATTTCTATGATTTGTCCATGATTTAGCCCTGTTTTCTATGATTTTAGGTCACTTACCTCATCTCTGGAAAATATGAAAGGCCCCAAATTGCTATTTTCCCTTCAGTAATATTGAAGAAAGAGGATGATCCTTGACTATCCTGGCTAGTCCTAACCTGGAGGTATGCAGCACTAATGACAGGCTCATGGAGCTCCCACTCACTAACAAGTACGAATAGTAATGAACAGGCTAAGATATGGAGGCCTTGGAAGAGCAGAGACTTGTATCCTTGTCCTGGTTTCGGCTGGGATAGAGTTAATTTTCTTCCTAGTAGCTAGCATAGTGCTGTGTTTTGGATTCAGTACTACAAAAATGTTGATAACACACTGATGTTTTTAGTTGTGCTTAAACTACTCAAGGACTTTTTGAGCTTCTCCTGCTCGGCCAGGTGCATAACAAGCTGGGAGGGACCACAGCTAGGACAGCTAACCCAAACTGACCAAAGAGCTATTCCATACCATATAACATCATGCTCAGGGTGGGGGGGTTAGTTGGTGGGTTGTGGGGAGAGCGATCGCAGCTCAGGGACTGATCGCGGCTCGGGGAGTGATGGCTGCTTGGGACGGGCTGAGCATTGGTCGGCGGGTGGTGAGCAATTGCATTGTGCATCATTTGTTTTGTATATTCTGTATATTCTCTTACCATTCTCGTTGTTACTATTATTATTATTTTTTCTTATTAAACTGTCCACTGAGGGAGGGGGGAGTGAGCGAACGGCTGCGTGGTGCTGAGTTGTCAGCCGGGTTAAACCACAGCAATCCTAGAAACTGATACAAGCCACTGGATCTTTTGGGAAAGGTGTTGGACTGGAACGTTTCCCCGCTTCCTTAAGCATGCAATCAGTAGCATCAGGCTGTGCTTTTCTCCTGGAGGGCTATCCTTGGGGTAGGAATATACAGATCCGAGGAGAGCGAGCAAAATCTAAGCCAACCACCCATACAAGCGCTGGCAGCATCCCTGTGCTGCCTACCCTCCACGCAGCAACCCAGGAATGCATAAGTAGGTATGGGGACTGCGTGGGTAAACAGAAGCACGCGTGAGCAATATACGTTCTTACATCGTCTCCCTCATCCCCTAGTCACTTCATCTCTCCCCATGAAGTGCATCAGGGGTAGCTTTTTCACAGTCTTGTTTGGCTCCTTTCCTTACCAAGGAGACAAAGGCAAAGCTGCATGGAGTAGGGAAAACCACCCTGCTTCCAAATAACCAGCTGAGCCCCCTGGTAGGACAGCGCTCTCTTCATCCTGTTCTTCTTTTTATATCATCAGAGCGGTGGGCTCAAAACCAGAAGGAACACTGAGGACACAGCTTCCCCAGGACACCAGGCAGCTGAGCGACAGCTCTGTTCTGTGTGAGGTCTTCTACCGAGGTCACCACCACACTGAGCGCTTTCTTATGCCACGATAATTCAATGCAACCCATAACTGTTCTACTTGTTCTCCTCTCCTTAAGGACAGAATGGTGAAATATAATGTGCTGGTACAACTTAAAGAATTTTAAGAGATTTACATATTAACTTTTTTTGCTTTCTTCTGAAAATTATCTCTGCACTGAAGGTAAGAAGGTTTACAAGGGTCTTTATTCACTTGACAGTCTCCTACCAGCTCTCAGAACTTGCAATTTGCGTGGGTGATGATTTTCCCTTCAGTTGTAGAGCTTGGCTGTGCCATGGGAACACAGCTGTCATCGGCACTCTCCGTGCTCTCTCAGACATTGTGTGTCAAACTACGAAGGTAGAAGCAGCCCTTTCTGAACTTCAAATCTGTGTTGAAGTAGGTTTGATGTGGTCATGGCAGCTCTAACTGATGAGGAGTAGGAGTTTGCTGGACCTGATGCCTGCAATTTATAAGCTCTGTATCTCTCAGTTGTATGGCAAGAAACAAAGGCCAGGTCATTCATCTGCTAGAACAAGCCTCCTATATGACTGGAAATAAGCCATTTAGGGAAAATGCAGGCTGTACAGAGAACTCCCTGAATTACACCTGAAGTTAGAAGCTGTGAAAGAGCCTGCAGTTGCGAAGGTGAATGGTCTGCGGTTTTCCCCAACCCCTCTTGCTAATATTCAGCTTGGGCTGCTTCTCCATCCACACTTTAGTCACCCTTAACGACATACCTATCCCAGTGTTAGCAACAGTCACTAACATCAGAATGATGCCAGACCACGCCAGACCTGCCCCTCAATACCAATGGGTTGCATCTGATGTCAAGATGAATATAAATCCTTTGATGAGTTTGATATCACAAATATTCCACATTCAATCCACAGAACTGCAACATCTTGAGAACCCAGGAACCAAATTAAAGAAGTCATTAGGAGCATGAAGACATGAAAGTGCATCACACTCCTTTGCCTCAAGGGAAATGGTGTCACTTGTTCATTACGGACACTACAGTGTCCCATTCACAGCTACTCATTACTGCTAATACATAAACTCCCCACACCACCGCGAAACTGGCTGCTTGGGTTGTCATTCAAGTCTTTGCCACTCAAAACCACAAACCTTAATGCAAAAAAAATCCCTGACTTCAAGCCCAGCACAAAGAAGAGTGACTGTATCTCCATTTGATATAAAAGGCAGAAGTCAAGACGCTGCTTTCCTTTTGGAAATCAGAAATAGGAAGTTCCTGCACAGACAGGAGATCATCTATCAGTGCAATTACAGTGTAATTAAAGCCTCTCAGCAATGACAGCTACTAGGGTAAATTCTAAAGTAGATTATTCCGTGCTTACAATCCCACCAGCCTCAGCTCTTCAGAGGGATAATTATACAGCTCCCATTATTGCACCATGAGGCTGTCAAGCCTGGGAGCTGCATTTTATAAATGGAAGAACTGAAAAACAGAGACACAAAGGCCCTGGTTCTGAAAGCTGTTTAGATGCCTAATTGCAACTGATTTTTTTTTTTAATCAAGCCGAGCAATTTTAGATTTTTAAGTGTTAAAAAGAAAACACACCAGTTTAAAGTCATTGCACCCTAAACAAACTCCTCCTTGAGAGGTTTCTTTTCCATGATTTATAGCTTGTTAGATGACAGAAGGGAGAGGACACATGACTGACAAATTTGTGCTGGATATGTCCAATCAGTCACAGTGATGACATTATAACTTACTAGAGATGAAGCCTGTCAACCTGGATAGGAGAGGAGAGGTATGGAAGAATACAGTAGAGTAGAGAGACAAAAGGAGTTACAGAAAAGGAGGGGAAAAAAAGACAACCAAAAAAACCAAACAAAACAAAACAAAACAAAAAAAAAAAAAAAAGAAGAGATGCATGTCCAGAGAAGCTCATAATTTACAGCCGTGTCAGCCAAAGGACTTCCCATGTCAGTATTTAAAAGAAAAGCCACCCAAAGTAATCCATCACAGGAAGACCAAATCCTCAAGAGAACACCATGGGCAGTAAAACACGTGCTTGAAAAATGTTGGCAACTCTGTAAAGCTACTTTTTGGTTTGGTTGGTCTGTTTTTTTGAAAGAAAAAGCACTTTTTTTCTACCCACCAGAGGTTTCTGCCCAAAAGACTCTCAGTGTAAGTCTGGAGGATTACAGTGTTATTGAGATACCAGTACTGAGAAGCACCACTTCAACTCGGCATCCTCCAAAAACATTTCCTGAGTCTTCATACTTGTACGGACACGCGTATGCACAAGCTGAAGTTAAACCACATTTGTGAACAGCTCCTGCAGTGCACTTTCATGGTACTCGCCCTAATGGAAGCACCTGACACCCTATTAACCACACCACCTGCCCCTTCCTCTCAGGAAATGCAGAACTCTGCTTTATCACCGAATCCCAGATTTAAACCAGAATACCAACAAAACAGAATTTTAAAGGTGATTATTTTAAATACCGGAAAAGTTCAGTAACCAACTAATGCTGTAGCTTCGGTATTCACAGACTTTGAGCTTTGTTTCTGATATAATTATTATTATTATTCCTGTCCTCCAAATTAGCATTTTTGCAGACTATTCCCCCAAATGACAGGTTTAAAGATACTGTTGATACTGCTAAAAAAACTGCAGCTTTTCAGGAAGGCCAAATGAGTATCAGTGAAGAAGAGCTCTTGGGCTGTCGCTCTGTTCAAGGACTGTAGAAACAGAGCACATAAATATGGTTTAAAGCAGTTTATGAAGAAACATTAAACAGGCAAGAACAGCCCAGGTGGAGTGGGAGGCCAAGATGAGAAAAGCAGCATTGACGGTTGGACTTGATGATCTAAAGGTCTTTTCCAACCTAAACAATTCTATGATTCTATGAGTGCACTCATATAATGGGCTCACTCTGGCAACGTTAATAAATCACCAGCTCGAACTGCAACAAAATTCAAGCTTATCTTCATCTTGTTTTTTTGAGAAACAGCAGAGAAAAACATGAACTGATATTACCTCTCCCTCTGGAACCTTATTTCTCTGACATCCATAGACCACAGCAGCTACCACCACTTGTGCAACGCTGTTTTCAGAGAGCTGTTTTCATCAGCTGTTACCACAGGCTTCCCAAAAAAAAAAAAAAAAGTCCTGCAGGGTCCAAACCGCAGTCAGACACGTAGATGTTGTCATTGTTGATCCCCAGAAATTCAACTCCGGTCCCAAGTTAAGCACGGGAAAAATGAGTAACACGACCCAAGGGAAGAATTGCAGTACCCGTAACTGCAGCGAGTGGTGTCCCCAAAAGAGACAGTGGTTTTACCAGCCCAGGAACAGCAACTGTTCACCCGCTGTCCAGCCCCCAGCAGAAGTAAGAGAGCTGAGACAAGTATCCAAACTGGCAATGACTCAGAGGCAGAGTATCCCATTTATTTGTGCATAACCAGTATCTAACAAAGCGTAGTTTGAATGCCCAGTTATTAGCTTGCTAATAATATCCACATATTATTAACTGTCCAAAAAGTCACCTCAAAGAGATCCTCAGGGCAGAATGGCTAAACAGAAGCACTCTCTCTCTGCGTACTCTTTTACCATTTGAAGTACACAATGATTGTGTTCAGGATCCTTAACTAAGTGACCTCTCCTTTCTAGGACACACCAAAATTTAGACCTGTTAAAGTAACATAAGCTTGACTTCAGCATGGGTCTCACCAAATTTTGGGGGTATTTAAGATGTGTAACAGCCAGGCTCTCCACTAAAAATAGCTAAAGATCAACCATGTAACTTAGTTTGCAAGCTTAAGTACCCACAAACACTGTTCTGCAAGGAGCATTAGCCATGTAAACTTTTAAACAGCAGACTCCAAAGTGCAAGTTTCACCCCCTTTGTTCCAGCCCTCCATCATGCTAAAGGTTGGCCATAAAACACTGCACCACCAAGACAGCCCTTGGCTCCTTCCTGCTTGGCAAGAGCCCTTGTTAAGTCCTGACAAACACACCTGTTTAATGAGAGCCCTCCCTTTAATGGGATCCATAACTCTGGGAAATACAATGCTCTAAGACAATTTTCACCATTGCTATTCAACTGGAAAATCAGGAAAACCCCAACATCTTCAATACAAGTTTCTCAATGAAAATTTAAGAAAGGTAAAGTACGGGCAAGGTGTGTACTGTGACACACCCAGGAGAACTGGAGAATCATAGAATAGTTTAGGTTGGAAAAGACCTAAAGATCATCAAGTCTGAGCTTCCTAGTGAATCCATGAGCTATCTTGAATACAACCTATCCTTGGAAAAGGTTGACATTTACGATAGAGATCCTGCTGATAAATGGAATGAAACTAACTCATTTCACATAAGCCAGCCAGCCTTCAGTGATGAATTTTGGTACCTACTGACTCAAGATGGATAATGTGCAATTTAAACTCTTCATATCCTGCTGTGAGTTGCAAGAATTGTTCAAACCATCACAGTGCACGGCATTCTCTTGCCTATTCTATTTTTACAAATACCAGGTGGCCTAGAATAATTTTTCCAATAAGCACACAAACGAAATTTTTCCATAAATGCTTGCCGAACCTGCCCACCAACAGCTCCCTGCTATCCCCCCTCAACCACAGCCCTCCACAACAACACCCCAACAGTTTCTGGCTGTATTTCTTGAAACACCTCACTGTGGTGCATCAGGCTCCCTGCCCGTTTGGCTAGGCAAGAGACAACATGACTGTTCTGTACAACACAGATCCGCATTAGCAACAAGCGGCATTAATCAGAACCTTTTGCCTTCCTCAACTACTCATTTTCACGGAAGTCACTTGGCACTGAAAGCCAGAAAGAGAGAATCTCTCCACCGTTAAACTACATCCTCTGGGCCCTCTGCCAAAAGAGCTTTGTTAAAGATGATTATTTATTTGATGTAATAATTATTACCTAACAGAGAGTGGCTTTCCTACAAGTGAAAGATACACTGGTCACAGAGGTAACAAAAATCTACCTTTTTCACACAGGGATGGCAGCTAACTCTCCTATGAGATCTTCACATCTGCCCATCATCACAACCAAAGCCCTTCTGCCATTGATCACCTCAGCTTTCTGACTGATTGCAGTGATAGGAAGGTGTCAGTCTCCCCATGGAGAAGCTACCCCCTACTAATCAGAAGTTGGAGTCCATTTTGAAACAGAAATATTTACCTTCGATGCCAGGTTGTCCACTAGTGCAATCATGGAGTTCTTAAAAAGAGTAGCAGCTGTCAGAGGTCGCTTGGTTACCTCAGTGATGCTCAGTTTACCTTCAGGCCACATCATCTTCAACACAGGGTTAGAGCTAAAAGACAGTCTCTTTAATTGCACAGTCTAACAGCCATTCCACAAATTCAAAATTTAACAGCTTGTTTCTGTCCTGATCTACTGGTGTTTTCAGCTCAAAATGTATCAGCCAAACCAATATCACATTCCTGGGCAAAATATATCTTGCTCTTGAGCAATATACTGTTCGAGGTTACAACCGAACATTCTGGAAAAATGCAAGTGCGTTCTCCTCTTCAGATAAAGATGTGCAGTAGTGGGATAGTAAAAAACCTGCAGAAGCGATCTATCAAAATCATAGTCTGCCTTACTGACGCAAACATAAAGAATTTAATCAAAACAGAAAAGAGTAAGACCATAGCCCACAACAACCTCCCTTGAAACTTGCTATCCCATTTCAGGCTGTGTTTCTGTGCCATTCTTGATCTATAAAATAATTTAAACATTTTAGCCTACATTTTCTTGAAGGGTTGAAGGTGAGGTAAAACGCCCACGATGGATGGCAAGAACAGTGGAATAGACAAAAGCTGAAAGCAGTTACAGCAATCTAATAGCCAGTCTATAACATGCTTTAATATGCTGTTAAGTGGTCTTTGTGGACAGTCTTTACCAGAGACTTAACGGAAAACAGAGGCTAAATTTAATAAAACCTCCGCACAGCAAATATTTTTCAGGGTTTTGGTTAATGTGAAGTCTTGAAAACAAACACCAAGGCTGTTCAAGGGAGTACATGGAGTAAACGTAACAGGACTGTAAACTAAGTTAATAGCTGTACTAGCTTTTAAACCAGGTAAACAGAGTTGTCCAAGCAGCTGCAGGCTATTTTTTGCTGACTTCCACCTCTGAGCAAAGTCTCTGAAAGGTTGAGATAGGCCACGGTTATCAAAGAATTAGAACCTGCTTAATGCCAACCATGAAGGAAAACAGCTTTCTGGGGCACATCCCCCACAATCCTTTGGTAGGATTTCAGATTTGCTCATCAAAGTCAACTTGTACTTGCCTAATTAGTATTTATAACACATGACTACATGGTTCAAATTTTTCACGTCACTGCACATATGAAAAGGATTCCAATCTATTTGCCCATTTTTCTCCCCCACCCCTAAACTTCCTTTCAAAACAAGGACTTCTAGCTGGGGCCAATGATATCTGTTGTTGACCAAATGCTACTCAGAATCTTCAGCATTGGTTAAAGAGATTGGTAATGGTACATTTGCAACTTGTCCAAAAACCTGGTTAATGACAAATCAAGCAGTAGGTAATCTCTGCACAGTTATCTTGATGGCTCAAGGAGTTGGGTTCAAAACAAACACTTTACATTTAGTTAAATTAAACTTTAAATTATATCAGAACAAAATGAACATACACAAAATAAGGACTTTATCCTGAAAAATCAAACTAACAGCCTACAGGTCACAGTAGATACACAAAGATCAAATCCCAAAGCAATGTGCTTATTCATGTGCACTGCACACACAGTAAAGACAGCATCAGTGAAAACATTAGTCTCTTCTAGAACCCACTCTATAAAAAAGGTTTGTGACAAATCAGATTTAAATTCACCATATTAATATTTTTATTCCTACCTGTTGTACATGAGGCGCTTGAAGTCTTGAAATAAAGTGTCCTTGTTTTTGTCAATAAATCCAGTGACTGAGTAACTAAAGAAAAAGGAAAATAGAATTAATTACAAAGAAGCAAAGTCCTTCTCTGAGCTGCTGCTATCAGTGTGGAATCACCATCCTTGCACTACTACAGATATAGCAGATGCTAATCAGGAATCCAGCTCTGTTTCCCAACCTATCCCTAATTTACTGTGTGAGCACTGTGTGAGGCTTCTGCCCAGCTTTGCACCTCCAGTGCAGGAACAACACACACCTAGTTTAAGAGAGCTATTTGACCTAGGCAGGTGGAGAGCATGATGGCTGAGGCACCTAGCAGGACCTGAGCAAGTTGCAGATGGCCCAAATTCCAGACTTACTTTCATGACTTCTGCCTCCAAATTCAGAGCACGTGTTTGCGTTAAATCCTACAGAAATTAAGTTTTCTTTTTCAGTATGTCTAGCCTGTCCCTCTCTTGGTGTCAAGGAAGATTCTCCAGTGAGAGGGCTTGAAATCAAGAGCAGCCTACAACCAGTGACTAGGGGACTCTCCTGGAAGTAAAGACGCACACATTTTGGACTCATTTCTTTCCTTTATTCCCACAGAAATCCCACCCTGAAAGATTATCGTTTCAGAGTTTCACCTCTTCTCCAAGACTCAAGACAGACAGCACTCTGTCCTCAAAGAAAAGGTCCAAAATCTCCCCATTCAGTCACTCCTACTCAGTTGCTTCCTGAGCTTCAGATTCCCCCTGGGAAGTCTGCACCTAAACTGCAGGCACCAGGATCCAGAGCCCCACAGCATTCAAATCTCTGCATGGAGCCATCCTCAAATCTTACTGCTCCACATAACACAGTTCTGGCTCAAATATTACCTGTGAATATTTCCACATTTCAGTTTTCTTTTAAAAATTTTTTCAGTCACTGGCAGTGCGGAAGGTTCAACCACTAATATGGCACCTTTTATTTTCTCCTTGGCAAAATGCTTTGAAATCAGGGATGTCTATCAGCAATCGCCCAGCAAAGGCTCCAGAATAAAATCTAGCCTCACTTAATGGGCTCCAGTATGATCACACTGGTAACCTTTATAAATTAAAGGTAAATTTAATCCCAAGGTAAAAGAAATCCTAAATTGTTTTCTCATTAACTCCCTTTGGATTCTGCTGGCATGGGGAGTTACGCAAATCCTAAACCATTAAATCACCCCAGTGATATTCCAGGCAACAGCTTTCCCAGTGAGCAGTTTCTAACATATGGGCATCTTTCACTTCCACTTAATCTTCCTTCCTACTACTGGCACATACTGTAGACATTTTTGTAGGCTTCAGGTACAGAAAACTTTTCAACCTGAACGGGGAAGGCTCCTTACACTGATACCAATTTCCATGTAACGCTACCCTTGTATTTTCACTCAAATTGATTTGAGAATTTAAAGCCAGAGAGTTATATAATCGTACTAAACAGATGTCTAAACCAGATTTTATTAGCTCAGTATAGCTTTCTTGCATAAACAGTGCTGGCTTTTTTTTTCCCCCCTCTCCTTTTATTTTCCTGAAGCACTGCTCTGCCCTCACCCCCCCTCCCCATATTCTCCTTTTGTTTCAATTCTAAGTACAAAATCTTATTCTGTATAGCAAGTAACCAGCATAAGATTTAACCGATAAGCAACTGCTGCACTCTGTAATTCTGTATGACAGCTATTCTGGTTCACACCAGAAGTAGCATTAAATCAGAATATCGTACCACTTCAAAGCTGGCTAAAAGACAAAAATAGAAGGTGCAACTTTATTTCTGAAAGAAACTTACATCACATCTCCGGCGTAGTGCTTGATTCGAAAGTCTCTGTCAAACTCCAGCGTTTTGTCAGTTGCACAAAGCTAAAATAAATTCACATACATTAAAACCTCACCTGTGGACTTGCAAGTTTCATGGAAGAGTAATACGCATTGGAAATAGAAATGGAAACTATGGTTATTCCACTTTATATATGCAGGTGTGGTTGTAAAATCCAGTTATAACACTGCTTTGTAATATTTTTTCATGGCTGCATTATAAGAACATGTGTTTGTACTAAATCAAGTTGCAAGAGCCTATGGTTTTATTAAAAAATTGATACTATCTCAAAACCCCATTATACAAAAAGAACATTTGTGCATGTAGAGAAACATTGCACCTAAGAGTTAATTTATGCCTTTTTTCTTTTTAAGTCTTCTTTATTTTTTTCCATGGCAATATCCGTCCTCAGCAAAGAAATGAAGCAATCAAAATATGACAGTTACAACAGCAATGCTTGTTCTGTCCCCAGTTGCTCTAGATCATCTAAGACCCCTCAAACTGTGACCACCCCTGCAGATCCACCCCGGGAGGTCACAGCTACAACCCTCTGCTCTCAGCTCAGCCTTCCATCGTGTTCCTTCACTACAGCCAAGATGTCAAGTGCCCACACGGCAGCCATTCAGTAGCAGTGGCCATAACACACCCATCCCTTCAGGAAAAAAAGAAGCAAAAAAAAAAAAAAAAATATCCATCAGGCTCAGCTTAATTAAAAAAGGAGAACAAGATAAAAATGAGGATTTTTGTTCAGGCCAAAAGGGGCAGGTAGATGAATTAAGTCTTTGCAGAAAGCATGGGCACCATTTTAAAACACCAAGGACTATGAGCAAATATTTACTGTCCACCAAAAGTCTTGGGAAAATAGAAGAGGAAATTAGCACGGTTAAACTGCAGGGCAGGACAGACTGTTAGAAGCAGGAAGATGCCCTCCAAAAAACTCTACCTGTGTCCGAGAGTAGAAAATAGATTGGCTCAAACTGATAGAAAATATGTAAAAAAATAAAATATATTTAAAAAAAAAATCACAAGGAGGGAAGCAAAATGTTTGAGTAGCGAGGTACGCAGAAGGGTACAAAAGTGTAAGAAGTCCAGCACAACAGGAGCAGGAAGCAAGCAAAGCTGATAGATGACCAAGGCGTAGAAGGAACACAGAGAAAATAAAAGAAATTAGGCCGTACCGGGAAAACAAAGTAATTTTTCTTTTTGCAGCTGTGTTCACCAGCAAGGGGCTATGGAGGACGTAATGCCTTTTTTGAACCACCAAAACCCATACATCTCAAACCAACGTGTCAATAGAAGAGGTACAAGACAAGCAAAAACATAATGAAATGAAGCAACTGTTGCTGCCACAGGACAGGGTTGGCTGCATAAGCTTTTCGCTTAAAACTCATCCAGAACTGGAGAGACTGCAAGGTGGCTTGACATGATGCTGGGTTGCTTTTTGGTTGTTTGTTTTTTTTTTTAAGGAATGATTCTCTCTGAACTGTGTGTCTACTGGGCAAATCAGGTGAAATGACTAAAAAAACCCAACAGCAGCTGATAGTCTGCTTGGATTTCTCTGAGCCTTTTCACAAGGTTCCTCACTAACAAGTCAAAGAATTTAAGCCGCTCTGAAAGATAAGAGCAAGGGTCCTCACACAGATAACTGCTGGAAAGATGGGAAACAGGAATCCTGTGGGGGCCTGTGCTGAGGTCTACATTGTTAACATCATCTTAAATGAGCTATGATCTGAGGGTAATAGGAAGGTGATCAGGCTTGGTGGTGGTACTTAATTATTCAGGGAAGTAAAGACAACAGCTGGCTGTGAAGAACTGCAGGAAGACATGAGCGGCTAAAGGAATGGTAAAGAAGAGCAAATTAAATTCAACATAAATACAGTGATACACACAGAGAAAAGCCACAGTTCATAGCAAACGACAGGCCCCAAACCGTCCATTCCCAACCCAAGAAGTATCTTAACTACCCTCCATCTCAAAAAGGACACAGGAGAACTGGGAGAGGCTTGATGAAGGGCAAAACCAATCAAATGCTGACTGACTGCTACAGGAAGAAGGGCCAAACAGCCTCTTCAGGTTAGAAAAGAAATGCTAGGAGACAAGAGCAAATGACACGGAGATGATGTATTGGACCGTGTTTTGCTGTTCAAGAACTAGGAGGCAACAGATGTAACCTAAAAGGGAAAAGGGAGGAAAATGGGAAGGAAGAAGCTTTTCATGTGTGTATCCAAGCTGTGGAATTCTTTGTCAATTTAAAAAAAAAAAAAATAAAAAAAAAAATGTTAAGGACACCAGCCCTGCTTCAGGAGGTTCCTGGACTGCAGATCACTGGAGACCAGGAGCATATCAAATTATCATTATGCATTTGTCCCATATTCTTCTGTCACTTAGACCTTCACTATTGCCTAGTGTCTTGGTAGATACTACATCAGGTGGACTAGAATGGACCTTCTTGTACTCTTTCCTTCACAATCCGTTTGTTGAGATTGACACTAATGAGAGCTCTCCGCTATTTGAAGACTTAGGAATTCATAGACTATGACTGCACTTGATCCTTCGGGAAGTGTAAGATCAATTGAAAAAAAAATCAGAACTTCAAGAGGTTGAGAAAATGAACCTGTGATGTTGAGAAGTACTATCAGAATAGTTAGTGTGTCTACCGATCTTGATTAGCATTAGACAATTCAGACAAGAACGACCCATGCTCTATGAACATAAAAGTTTGCCACAAATACTCATAGTGGAAGTGTTTGCCAGTATTTTTCCTGGTTTGTTTGGCTTTCACCAGGACAACCAAGCAGACAGCGGCAGATCAGACATGCAGTACACAAACTAGGACACTACTATTTAGGGCACAGTAGCCCCTTAGAGCTTATCCACATGGAGCCAGTGTGCAACCTGCTCTACAGGGGAGCAGTGAAGCATTAACTCAGGCTGAAAGATGGGAGCTGTTCCCATAACATAGCACACATACTTTAACTCTTTAGGAACAGCTTCAATCTATGCTGAACTTTAAAGTATCTGGACACAACTACTGCAATCTACAAAAGTAAATTATGAAAGGAAGTCAAGTCCTTTGTTTTAATTCAAGCTAGAAGAGGCTGGCTTAGAAAGATGTTTCCTACAGCAGTTCTAGATAGGACTGAAGAAGATACCTTAGATACTGGCAAAGGACATCTACAAAGACGCGAGAGGGAGGAAAAAAATAAAAAGTATGATGCTGAGAGTTTTATGGGTCAATTTTTTCAAGGCTATATTGATTTAAATTAGAAATTAGCAAGCCAGGAAGATACATCATACCCTCCATAAACACTATTTATAACAGCATTCCCTGATTCCCACCCAGTCTGTACAAATTCTGACAATGCCACCCCCTACTGAGGAATGCTGCAACTGGCAATATTTTCTTTTAATGTTTCCTATGCTGTGAAGGGACTCCTGAAGGTAAGGGCTCAATCAGATTTTTTTTTTTTAATTTTCATTTTATAGCCTCCCATATACTTTATGAAATTCAGTCTTCTTCCCCACTGCATCGAACTATTACCTGTGATGAAACCATGTCACCTTAGTAGACCCAGGACCAAGGACAGAAGAGAAACTAAACTCCTTTCTCTACTAGCTTAAGCCTATTGGCTAGACAGCTCCAGAAACTGGAGCACTTCCCACCCCAACCCGACCGTAGAGGATTTAAGACTCCATCCCCCCAGGCTTCACTATTCACTATCATTAGTACTACTGAAGGAAGCAATTTGCATTGAAATGTAGAAAGCCCAGACTAGGCTTCATAAAAATACTTGTTTTCAGGTGAGTTTACTCAGAACCACCTAAAATCCTAACACAGAGCAAGATTCCCGGTTCCTGCTCCCTGCAGGACGCGTGTGGCAGATGAGATGGCAGGTGTGCTGCAGCTAAAGGGCGCTTAAGGAAAGCCACATCTGGGAGGAAAAAGCGGTTATTTTATTTTCATCCTAGCCTCTACCCAAACAAGCCACATCCAGCTCTATTGTTTATATTCAGCCTCCCTGGAGGCAGCCTTTAACACATATCTTATACAACCATGCTAATTTTGTATTTCTGACCTACATAAAATATTGTACTGGGGTGGGAGGGAGAAGAGGGGAAGCAGCATTCTGAACAATTTATTTCAAACAATATTTCTCAGTACAGAGACATCAATAAATTAAAGGCCCATATTTGATTACTCAGTGTGAAAGATTCTCAAATTAATCAGGCTGGTGACCGTGTTTTTCAATATGCTGCCAAGCGAGGAGTAAATAGAGACTTTTAATTTGTACATTGTACCAAAACCAGAGTATGTTGAGGGGCCTGGATGATCATAGGTACAAGCTGAGATGAACATGTTTTGTAGCCAATAACAATGGGGAAAAAAAAAAAAAATCAGAGTGCTGTAATAAAGCAGAAGTGTGAATAATTTCACTGTCACTATGTATTAGAGCAGCCTGGGAAGAACGTCACATGGGCTGAAACTGCACATTGATTGGTTACAGATGACATCATGATATGTCAAGGCACGAGCTCATGCTTCTTTTATGCCTGGAATAAAACTGATCTCACATTGGACATACTGTAGCTCCCTCTGCCGGGTACAGGACGGCCGAGGCGCAACCTAAACCCAGACCAGACAGCCTGTTCTGCAGTTAGGAGCTGCTGTTGAGCTTAGACATTTCATTTCATACTCAATGGTAACGATTCCAACTCCAGCAAGTGTTTTTCCTTATTCTGTTAAGTTTAACAAAAAATAGAAAAGGCATCACACAGGAAAGGAAGCCAGGTTTGAGGAGACAAAGTACATTACCTTTCTGCTGGAGAAATGAGCATGCTTCCCTAGCTTGTTATTAAGAGCCTCAAGGAACATCTCGTCTGTAACCTTTCCAACATTCATACAGGCATCATCCAGAATAGCGATGATCCCTTTGTGCTGCTGTTCTACCAGGTCGACGATGACCTGATTGTTAAAGTAATCAATCTGTAAGAAACAAAAAAAACGGGTACATTTGTGAGTTCGGCTAGTGCGAGAGAGGAGTACCAGTGTTGGCTACTGATGAACAGCACCCTGTGTCTGACAGAAAGAACGAGGCCCTCCATTCACAGAAGCAGCAATCAGCTTTCAATACATCAATCACTAACTCCAAACGAAGCAAGCTAATCTTCCACCGCAAAACAGCAGAGGTGATCTTTCAAACACCTCACATCAATCTCAAGAACTCCGCTAAAAATCAACTGCTACAGAATGCACTTTAAGACATCTTTTAAAATTCAACGACGCACAGTCACCACCGTGAAAACTGTGCATCTTGTCCTCAGTATTATGAAAGGAATTTGAACAGGAGAACTCAAGATTTTTATGCTTGAATATCTACAACTAGACAAAATACATAAGCTCTCAGAACAGAAACACACAGCGATGTGTGTGGCGTCATAGAGATGCCACAATATGTTTTAACTCAGACCTGGAGTCACTTGTATTTTCCCAAACCATGGCAAATATAGAAATGTTGTGAGATAAATCGTTAGCTTCTTCCACAGCCTGGTTCCAGACAACAGTCTGACAGTACAGCTGGCATGGACACAGATGTCCTATCGACTTCGACAGGAGCATACATGTGGAGCAACTTTAGATCTGGGACTTATTTTGGTACACTGACCTCAAACCGACCTCTCCCTCCCCTGCCAAATCACTCACATGCTTCCAGGGAATTCCCTCTCGCTGGTACTCTTCCTGTTCCTGCTTTAGAACCAGCTGAATAAAGAGCTGCTGTAGCTTTTCATTGCAGTAATTAATGCAAAATTGCTCAAAACTGCAAAAACAGAAGAAAAAAAAAAGGTGCTGAGTTTTCTGGGAAAGGAAGGTACCTCATTATGCTTTAACAACGCGGCTCACCTGTTATTGTCAAATATTTCAAAGCCATAGATATCCAGGACGCCAATGACGGTGTTTTTCCCATGTATTGTAGTGTCATAGTTCTTCACTTCGATCACATCATTGATGTGTGTCACAATCCAACAAAAGAGGCGCTCGTATATAGCCTGCCAGGAAACAAATACTGAGGAATTTTGCCTGTATCTGTCTCAGTTCTTTCTGGTAAATGCAACACATGGCGCTACAAAGCTTAATTCAAGATGCTGCCCTAACCAAACGAAAGCTACAGATAACATTCTGCTGAAAGTGAACAGCTACTGACAAGAAGAAAATATTCTATGAAAACTTTTTTTTTTTTCTTTCTTCCAAAACTCATTCACATTAAATGTAAATCCTAGTGAGGTCACTAGGTACAGTGGTTTCCCTAATTTGATTCTAGTCTGCTTTTCAACTGCCTAATAACTTCAATACCTGAGAATAATTCAAGAATATTAAAGAGCAAGTGAGAGTTCAGTTAGAGAAACCTAACAACTGAACACAATGGCAGTAAAATATTCCCATTCACCTGTCAAAAAAAATGTTCTGTAGGCATAGATCGTTTCGCAGTCAGCATGTTCAAAATGTACTGTGAAGCTGTACAAACATACCCTCTCAGGAAAAAAAGTCAAGTTAATAATCAAGAATCTTCATAACTTCATCTGTTCTTCGCTTGTCATTTGATTTCTTAGCAAAGGAAGGACAATGGTCATTCCTTTGGTCATCAGCACCCACCTTTCCAAAAAAAAAAAAAGATAGCACTTCGAGTTCCCAACCTAAGTTCTAGATGCTATAGTTCCATGCTCTACTCTATGAATTTAACTGCTAAATGAAATCAAGAATCTTATTTTGCAAAATATTCAGCCCTGTACAATGTATTCCTTTTGCAGATGCCAGCAAACCAGGCCTGCAGCTCCCTCCCCTCCTTCACATGCCACAAGCACTGCTGGTTGTGGTGCACACTGTGGGAGAGCCGGGGAAGGGTAGGGATGGTGCTGTTCTGCAATCCCCCTACAGAACACCGGAGCACACACATTTAGAAATAAATCCACATGAAGTACGGACTTCCTGTGTCTCAGGAAGCACTACACTTACTGATCCACCCAGGAATCCTACTGGCACCTGAGCATTGAAAAATGTCCCATAACGTAGGCAATTCAGTATTGAATGCCTTCCCCAGGCACCACTATTCTTTGCTGCACCAAGTACAACTCAACCAAAAGGCAAAAGCAAAAGAAATTCATCCGAGTTACTGCCACATACAAAATCAGGTGCAGAGAAAGGAAATTTAAACTCACTTTTGCAAAGGCATCTCTGCCGTAGGTGGCTTCCTGTTCAGTATGTTGTTTGTCAATGACATCCCGACCTGTAGCTACAGTTCGAAACAAAAGAGCCTTCTCCACCATGTCAGATTTTGTTGACAGCAAGTCTGCGATGATCGACACAACCTTGCCATTTTCTATTACAGGTGTATCACCATCCACAGAAAACTTCAAGTTCCCCTGCAATAAGTAGCAAGAAACTAGATCTCTCAATCTGTCTTTTATTAACATGAATCAATCCATGCCCCAGGTTCATCCACATTCCACCCGCTATTCAAGTCAGTCAATCTCCTAACACATTAGAAGGGTGCGCCTTGCATATCCAACGTCTAACAGCTTGCATATCTAAGCTCTAACATCAGTGGAAGCAGCAAAGCCTGACT